GAGAGGATGATTTAACTCAGTTATATGCATTGAGGACAATAGAAAATATTTGCAGTCAAGCAGGGCCGTGGGCAGCTCGTTTGACTAGCCAGGACATGATTAATAACCTGTGCTATTTATATAGGGCTGCTGGAAAGCAGGAGAGCATGAGGCTCACAGCAGGATCATGCTTGGTTCGTCTGGTTCGTTTTAACCCACCTAGCATTCAACCAGTAATAGAGAAGCTCTCCTTAAAGGACATAGCATCGGCACTTGTGAAGGGCAGTCTGCGTGAGCAGCAAATAAGCTTAAACCTCTTAAACATGGCCATGCTGGGAAGTCATGTGTTCACGAATGTTGGCAGGTACCTCCTCCCATTGATGGAGGATAAGAATCTTGTCCCAAGTCTTGTGTCTCTTATTGATCAGGGAAGTGAGGTTTTGAAGGGAAAGGCACTTGTTTTTGTTGCTCTTCTTTGTAAGAGCAGTAGGAGGTGGCTGCCACATTTTTTTTGCCATGCCAAGTTGCTTTCTGCGGTGGACAGGTTGGTGAAAGAGAAGGACCGTTATGTGCAGCAGTGTTTAGAGGCATCTGTGTGTGTTGTGGCGTCTGCTATACCCAGTTTACTGGATACTATTACTGGAGATATTCAGAAAATTATGGGAGGTAGGCGCCATGGGTATCAATCTCCCCTTAACAGTAGAGCTGCTCCAAAGACCAATGTTTATACGTTTCCCGTAGTTCTCCATCTTCTTCGAAGCTTGTCTTTTAAGCGCAAAGTGGTGAATGAACAGGTCCTGCAGCAGTTGGCAAATCTAATGAAACTCGTGGAGACACCATTTCAGGTTGGTAGTAGCCTAACCAGTCTGTGTTTAAGTCATTGCTAAGCTTGTCTTTTAATCTGATTTATAATTAAGATGTAAAAAATAGTAGTACTAAAATACTTCTGGCTGATTAGATCAGCTAACTGTTAGTTACTGGAACTTGGGATGTTATGTAACTTTCCCAGTGCTTAGGTACAGTGTCTCGGCAAGTGATCCGAGGTTGTTATAGGTTGGTAAATGCCTGGGCTGGTGACAACCTGATCATTTCCACTATTTAACAGGCCCCTTTTTCTTCTTAATAAATCACTAGTATAACCATGTCATTAGCTTTTAACTTAGCATGTGGAAGGCTACAGCATAAAAGTCCATTAGCGTGGAGTCTGGACTTACGCTAAATTTCTACTATGTGGGGTGAAAGTTAGTTTAGTCCCAACTTATGACGAGAAAAAGTAACAGATTAATGAAAAGAGAACGTAATATGGTAACATTGATACTGATAAATAATTTGTTATTGATTTAACAGGGCAGGGATGACTTTCAGATTACCCTTCTCCGAATTCTTGAGTCTGTCTCAGAGGAGTCGCATGTGATTCTTGAAAGCCCTGACATTTTTATTCGTGAGGTTCTCCCCAGTTTGGCTGTTCTTTATAAGGGTAACAAGGATGGTGATGCCAGGTTTCTGTGCTTGAAAATTTTGTTTGACGTGATGGTAATTTTTCTGAATGAACAATCTGAAGATCAACAAAGGTCCAAAGAACTGGAATCCATATCCAATAAGAATTTTCTTCCTCTCTACCCTTCCCTGATTGAAGATGAAGATCCGATTCCCTTGTATGCACAGAAGCTTCTTGTGATGCTTATTGAATTTAATTACATCAAAATTGCAGACATACTAAATCTTAAGATAGTCTCACAATGCTTTGAGTTTTTGCTTGGCGATCTTTCAAGTGCAAATGTGAACAATGTCATGCTATGTCTGGCTCTGACATCGGCACCTGAGATGGAAACCAAGTTACTTTCTCAACTGAAGGTAGTTAGGAAAATAGGAAACCTTCTAGAGTTTGTATATGCAAAGGATATGGAAGATTTTCTGGAACCAACCCTTGGCCTATGTAGGGCTTTCCTTCTACGGTCAGTGAGTGGTAGAAAAGGCTTCATCTACTCAAATGAACCTGATCTTCTGGGTGATGCGTCTTCTGAGGCAAGTGGTGCTGATCAGCAACAAGGCATTAGAGATATCATGGACTTCGGCAGCAATGTTGGCGTCTTATTAGAGTTGAGTAGATCATATGGAGGAAATGTGGCAGATCTGGCCTCAGAATGCGTTGTCTTGTTGCTCAAGGCAGCTCCAAGGGAAGCCACTGCTGGTCTGCTAACTAATCTTCCAAAAGTTACTGCAGTCCTCGAGTCTTGGCGTAGGGGCGCATCTCACTTATTGGTGCAGCGGGTGCTGCATGCCCTCGGTTATTCCTGTAGGCAATATTTGTTACACGCAATGATACTGTCGATATCTATACCCGAGATCTCAAGAATTGAAGTCATAGTTTCTGAGATTAAAGGTTCAGGTGTACATGTTTTAGCCACCGCTGCTTTCCATGTGGCTGTGGAGTTGCAACGGCTGCCTCGCTGCCTGTAAAGCACTAGAGGTAACATGCTCGTTTCTTTCCCCTCTTTCGTATCATCATAATTATAATCTCTCGAGTTTAATGATTTCTTCTTTTCGCATGCAGTGCTATGCAAATCAATCGGCTTCTCCTGAGTGCTTGATAAAGGATTGACAAGTTATGAAGGTGAGTTTATTTGTTCCGCATTATATTAGGGCCAATCCAGCTCTGGTTGGCTTGCCATTATATAATCTTTGTAAACTTTGTATCTCCATTGGAATTTTGTTTCTTTTGAATATATCTCTTTTCTTTTTTCGTTTTTTTTTTTCTGGAATTTACTTCACTGCAATTCAATCAAAACCTTGTATGCTAATCGGATAAATGCTGGTTAGTTGTGGTACGAAATTGTTTAGTTGTTCGATTAATCCATTCAAATTTACCTAGGTAGTGTGAACCCATCAAATTTATGCGATCAGTGAAATCATGTACACGAAGGTTGTGCATTCCTTGCCTTTGCGACAAGGCTTGTTCTAAATCCTTCTTGATTCCACTGAGACTGCTCTTTGTACTTCACGCAAAGATTTTGTTGCGCGTATATTGGGCCCAAATGCACCACCGGTTAGCAATTGCTCACAAATGCGGCTGATCCGCGTAGTTGTATCATTTCTTATTGGTGATTAACGTACTTATTTCTTATTAGTGATACATCATTTAGTTTGTAAATTTAATATACAAATTTAGTCTCCTAACATTACCCTTATAACAATACATATCAAATTAGATATCGACAACATACAAAATTTAGATCCACTGCTCATGCAACGTTCCGATTTCATCGGGGAAAATTCCTTTGATTGGTGTCCTTGACCTCTTACACTTTTTTAATCTATCATGACTGCAGATCTCTGAATTATGAGCCAATAATGCCCCATGATTTATGCATTAAAATTTCTTATGTTGAGAAAAATATAATCTGTCTCAAGGAAATCTAGTGACTGTTCAGCTCTTTGTTGTATCTGAATTTATAAGGGAAATAATTTTCTCACTAGCCTTTTATTCTCTTACACTTTTATCAATGATTGTCTTTGTCTCTTATTTACCGTTGATTTATTTAATTTTGTAGCTTGAAACAAGTGAAAAGGTGCAAATGAATAAAATGCAAGGGCGGAAATTGTTTCGCTTTTGCAATTCTTGTTTTAAGATGGATTATATAGATTAACAAATTATGACATCAATCAACTTTTCCACGAAGTATTATTATCTTCAAACATTTCCTAGGACTTTCCTACGATGCTCGTGCCTTATAATCGTCAAGTAAATGATAATATGATTGGTGGAGTAAATGATAATATGATCAGATAGAGTAAAAAAAACTTACCAGATACTGGTTGTATAACATTTGTGCTTATAATACACATCATATCAATTGTTTCATAACAAAATATCTCCGATTTATAAGATGCACAACAATCAACAATTTACTCATATCTTCTTGGGGAATCCAATGCCATTAAAAGTCCCAAACAAGAGGTTAATCAACTTGATGACCATGCAATATAGGGTGAGTGATGGTTTTGTAACATTGAAGTAATCAAGTAGATTAGGACTTAGGGTTTCGGATTCTCAGAAAAACAAGGGGACAGCAAGGTCACAGGCCAAAAGGGAAAAAAGAAAAAAAATCATCTGATTCCAATTAAAAAATCCGGTCAAGTGATCTCCGATCTTTGATCTTTGTCTCTTCCCTACACATGCCAACCTGTTTTGCTCAAATCCATCGAAACTTCACTCTACCCATGTGGCACATTGGTCCCACCTAAAGCTTCTAATCATCTACAAGGTATTTGCTACTCAATTGTTAAGAGCATTTACCCGAGCCAGAGGTTTTAAGTTCAATTAGTCTTCTCACAAATAGTTTTGTATATAAATATAAAAAGTAATATTTCTAGTCATTATTTCTGTATGATAATCCTTACTTTACTATACTCAAGTATCGTGAAATTCGCACTTGCTACTCTTAGTTTTTTTTCGTCCTAGTTTCTTACCTAAACTTTGATTTTTTTGATACTTTAATACTTCAGTTAATCTTCTTTTCATTAGGTTTTCCATTAAGTGATGACGTGGATAATTTTGGCCTACCATTTTTGTCAAGGGGTTGAGAGATTCTCTTGTAAATCCAATTCAGATGTGTCTATTGCCACTTCTTGGCAAATATGGTGGGTCAAAGTTATGTCACGTCATCATTTAACGGAAAATTGACAAAAAACCTAACAGAAATATTAAAGTGTTAGAAAAATAAAAGTTTAGGTATGAAACTGAGAAGAAAAAAACTAAGGGTTGCTAAAGTGCGAGTTTCACGATACTTGAGTGAGTAAAGTGAGAATTATCCTTTTTCTCTAAATACAAATGATATATTTACCTAAAGGGTGAGAGAATAAATTAGTATAGAATTTATCAACCACGAAATTTGAACCTAAGACTTATTAGTTATAATTGAACATAAATAAATTGCTAGTACTAAGACAACTTGTAGTCATCCTTTAAAAAATCCAATCATAACTTCCACCCAAGGCACTTTTTTCTTTGGTTAAACTCCAAAAGCACTTTCACTACACAAATATATAAACCACACTCCACTAAATTTGTGAGAATTGATATCTTCATCATTAGAAATGGCCTCTTTTTGGTTAAATGTAGCCCTCATGATGGCTCTCATGGCCACACCTCTTCTTTCCTTCAATTCAAAAGCCTCAAGCATCTCAGCTTCCCCAACATTCTTCACCAATTCCCCTCCATCTTCTAATCTGCAAGGACTACCTCCAGAAATAGCTCCACTTTTGCCATCTCCAGGTCCTGAGGTGCCTACCACTCCAACTGATTCCTCCAAACCCACCATTCCCTCCAACCCGAGCCCTCTGAATCTCGACGACCCGCCTTACCCTGCACTTTCACCATTTGGGTCATTGCCAGCTTCTTCAGGAGCATCTGCAGATTTAGTTTGGACTCTAAAGGTTACTACTTTTGCATTTTCAGCTGCATGTGTATTGGTTCATGCAGTTTCTTAGGTTGTAAGTATTTGTTGTGGGATACATGATTCAATTGTCAGTGGTTGTAGTCAAAGTTGTCCAATATATATGTATAGGTTAAGAATTTTTAATTGATTTCAAGTAATATTTAGAGTTTGTAGCTCGAATAATTAAGAAAATTTATTTTTGCATTTGAGATGTTGCATTGAATTATCCAATTCTTCGACATCGATTATATAAAACAGAAATGTTTTGTGTCTTGGTTTACTCTCACCACTCACCAAAGACTATGAGTCAACAACACTCATAAGTGATCTCAGTATAGCCAAAAATATTTTCACACGTGAAAAAATTACAACACCAAAAAGTAAAGTGACACATAATTTTTAACTAGATTGAAATCGGACAATTGAAAATAAATTTATTTGAAAGTGCATGTGACATCCTAAGATGTACAGCAATTAACGAGTCATATGTTGTCCTAATTAAAAGAAAAAATAATATTGGTGTTTTAGGTAATCTAATCCGTCTGTTTCTGCTGTCTTGATCCTTAAATACCAATAAGATTTGTTGATCCAAAAAGTGATGGCTGGATTTTAATATGAATGCTTGTCTAATGAATTGTCATACGCCAATCAAGGTGGGTGGGTGGGTGGGGGCGCAAATTTGAGCAAAGAAAATGTCCAACTTGGAGGTGGGGCACCGGGGCTTGATTCATCCAATGATTAAGTTTTCTTGTGTAAAATTTGATGTACATACGTTAGTTAAGGCCATCTCCAACTGAAGAAAGGTTAAGCTATCTCCAATCGAATGCTGGTTAGAGGGTTCATTTTAGCCATCTGACCCTCCAAGATATTAATACTTTAATGAACAGTACATGACTATATTTGCCTCCATCTCCAACCGAGAGACAAAGGGTCATGTGGCTCGTTTTAGTCCTGTCACAAAAAACCGTCTCCAACCGAGGGCCATAAGGCCAAACATAATTTATTATTGAAATTTAAAAACTACAACTTAAATTTAAAAACTACAAATTAAATTCTTAAAAAAAAAAAGGCCAAAAAAAAAAAAAATTTGAATCCAACAGTAACTAGCCGTTGTATTTGAAATTTTGGCCTACCATTCCTATCGAATATAACCGACTGGAATAAGTACAATGCTGTTGGATATAACCGACAAGAATAATGAAAATTCTAGCCCAGTCCGGGGGCTGGCTGGTTGGCTACTTTGGGCCAGCTGGTTGGCCCTTTGGCCCTTTTTTGTCCAGTGGGGCCTAAGAGCCATTTGGCCTAACCCTCGGTTGGAGACAGTTTTCAGGCTATTTTCGACCCTTTGGCCATTTGGACCATTCGGTTGGAGATTTTTTTTTTGGGCCAATTTTTTATTTTTTATTTTTTAATGAATTTAATTTGTAGTTTTTAAATTTAATTTGTAGTTTTTAAATATAAGTTGTAGTTTTTAAATTTAAGTTGTTGTTTTTAAATTTAAGTTGTTGTTTTTAAATTTAAGTTGTTGTTTTTAAATTTAAGTTGTTGTATTTTTTAAATTTAAATAATAAATTATGTTTGGCCTTATGGTCCTTTGGCCCACAGTTGGAGACGGTTTTTAGTGACAGGGCTAAAATGAGCCCTATGACCATTTGGCCCTCGGTTAGAGATGGAGGCAAATATGATTTTGTACTATTCATTAAAATATTAATATCTTGGAGGGCCAAAGGGCTAAAATGAGCCATCTGGTCAACCTTCGGTTGGAGATGGCCTTAGAGGGCTCATTTTAGCCATATAGTCATCCAAGAAATTAATATTTTAATGAACAATATAATGCCATGTTTCTTACCATCTCCAACTAAGAGGCTAAATGGTCATAGGCCAGACATAGCCATGTGACAAAAAATCATATTCAGCCGAGGAGGCCAAAGGGCTATAGGCCAAACATAATTTATTATTTTAATTGAATTAATATGGTTATTTAAATTAAACTACCTCAATAATTTTTCGAGATGGAATCTCAATAATTTTATATTTCGGATTTCAAGTGCCACGTGTCAATATGTGTTCAATAGGATTTTGTTGCACATCTTTGGGTCAAAAGAAGCATGGAGTAGGCATTTAAGTTTTATGTTGTTAAATGTGTTTTTTTAATGTTGTTTAATGGCTTAGGTAGTTATAGGAAAAAAAATTAGAATTTTTTAATTTGTAAAAAAAATATAAAATTCAAATCCAACGGCTACCTGGCGTCATGCTGACACCAGGTAGCCGTTGGGCTTGAATTATGGACCGGCCTGGGGCTGGCTGGCTGTCTGGTTCGGGCCATCCGATTGGCCTAATTGTGCAATTGTGACCCGGTGGGACCCACGAGCCCTTTGGCCTAACCTTCTGTTAGAGACGATTTTCGTGTCATTTCGGGTAATTTTTGGCCCTCTGGCCGGATCGGTTGGAGATGGCCTAAGCTAGTTAGTCACACATGTTAATTGTCTGCTACTCTGCACTCAAGTCTGAATTCCGCAAATCCTCTTTCCAACTTACAAGGTGACCGTTCACCATTATGCATCCGAATTTGAACTCCCCAAACTCCTTTCCGACTAACATGATCAATTAGTCAACATGGCAATTTGTCCGTCATTCTGCACTCAAGTCTGAATTCCTCAAATTCTTCTCTTGAATACTAGGGCAATTGTCCACCATTCTGCACTTGAGTCCGAATCTCTCGAATCCCCTTCCCCGTAATTAATTAAAATAAGAATTTGATTTGTTGAAGGGGCTTCTGAATTTGCACAAATTAGTGTTTGTTATTAAATCATACAAACTGGTGCTTGTTGCATTGATTTTCTTTTCTGTTTCGAGAATTGTCTCGTCCATGAGATTTGAACTCGAATGCAAATAAAATTCAGCACATTAGCAAACAATTTTTCATTGTTTTTCTCGAGATAAAAGTAAACAAATACAGAACATTAGAAACGCCACTAACGATCGACCTTCAAATTAAGAGCACTAAAACATCCATAACAAAAGATTAATAAAAGTACCAAAATCATAGTATAAAACTCATACAAAGAAACTAAAAAGGGAGAAAAGGGGTCCACATGTTTGTGTTGTTTCTCTCTAAAATTCATTATGCACTCTTCTTCGCAACGAGATACTCGATCAGATCAGCTGCATCTTGAACAGTAGCAATGTCTGGGCATTTTCTTCCTCCACGGTGATGCCAAACGCCTCCTCAAGTCCCTTTACAATCTTAACCTGTATCAATGGGTGGGAATATATCAATCAGGATAACCAAGTAAACACAGAAAAACAAACATCTGTAGCAAATTGCAACCAGTTTTGCAAAAAGAAACACGTCAAAGAATGTTGTAATCTGAAAGTGGTAAGGAAATTTACTCTTTAAAACTAATTAGAGAGGATTTAGAGATAATCGGACTCCATAGAATGATGTATATATCCACTCTATAAAACCCTTATAATTTTGTAATTCTAATTGCATTCTAGAAAAGGAAAAACAATAGAAAGCTAATGATTAATCAGCATGGTAGAAAATGAGAGCAACAAAAGATAATTGGTAATTACTGTGTAAAGAGAATCGGTGCCAAGTTCTGAAAACTTTAAGCCGGCAGACACATCAATGTCTTCGGCTAAAGCCAGCTGCTTCTTCACTATGCCACACAACTCGGTGATAGTCTCCGGTTTGGCCTGCAAAAAGTTTTTAATACCATATTACTATTATAATTGTTACACAATAGGGATCTGAGATATTTCATTAATATAGACCACTAATCACTGTTACCTAACTTGTACTCGACAGAGTTAGTACCTCCAAAGAACACAAATGCTTTCATAGACAACACAAGGCTAAGCATCATATCACATGGTTATGATATCCAAAGGATAATTTGTTTCGTAAATTAAAGAAAACTATGGAGGAGTGTAGGAATCATAATGAGCCAGGAGCAGATGGATACAAAGCACTGGCTTTCTGAGATGCCATTATTTGTTATCAGGCCCTCTTTTGGTAAAATAAGAAGACAATCTGAGGTATGCCACATCACAGGAAATGAAGATACATTTACAATGCAGAAATTTATGTATGAGACAGACGACAACAAGAGTAAAAGTTACAGTAGCTTTATGATCAATTAAGCTTACCGCACAAGAAACTAGGAAGGGCCAAGGTCAGGAACTAATGGATGGAAAGCGCTTTCCAGTAATGGAAAAGGAAACTGATTTCAAACCAGAGCTCCTGCTGCTGGGTGCCTAATTCAACATTCAACCATAAAAACAAAATGTCACGAATGAAAATGTAACATATGAACTTAAAAAAAGAGCAGCATTTAAGAAATGTTGTAAATGTGAATTAAACAAAACATCAAACTAACTAAAAACAAAGTTCTAGAGGGAGAGAACTCATGGAGTTGAAAAAAACCAACTCAATACCGTCTTCCCTGTTTCTTCGAACTCTTTAAAGTAATAAAATCATGAGAAACACATTGTATTCCTTCGGTAGTACTTGTACCATAATATTTTCCAAGTACAATACACGCAAGTGTCCTTTTGGAACTAATTAAAGTAAAAAAACACGAGAAACACAACATATCCCTTTAGCAGTACTTGTACCATGAGTATCTCCAAGTACAATGCATACAACTGTCTTTCGATATCATTTTCAATGTCATTAGCTTCGATAAATCAATCACTAGCATTGGTTAATTTGAACTAATTGTGTAAACCAACTTAACAAATTGTGTAAATCAATTATGATGTTTTGGTTAATCTAACTCAATGCATACAACTATTAGCACAATCCAATAAACGATTTTCGGAACAAAGTTATTTACTGTTGTGCCCAAAAGCTAGAACTAAAACAAAATCATGAAGTTCAAAAGCTGCACCATTATATCAAAGACTGATAAATAGCTTCAAATCACCAGTGGGGGTTTATGATTTGGGATAAATTTTTTAGAGTGACGGGAACACCACCTCAGCAAAGCTAGGTGATGTTCCCAACCTATTAAATGTTGACAGTTAGATGTTGTCATTTGTTCACTTAAAAAATACTTGAAAAAGCAGAAAACTCAAAAACCAAAAGATTGCTCATAACTTTGTTAACATCTCCGTTTCTTCGTTTCAAATCAAAAGCTTCTTGCGAACTTCAAGGGAAGTTGCAGACTCAATTCCCTCTTCTTTCTTTGAAAAAT